GCAGGGCAAATGATTTTATTTGTTTTCTGGAAGGCATCTTCCTCCTGATAAGAACGCTGATGCCGGTATGCACTAATGATGCTGGTACATTTCCTGTTCTTCCAAGCCTGGCTTAAGTGGGAGGGTTCTCCCTCCTCCCTTCATTCAATCCGAGTGAAGATGTTTTGGCCTGTCCTGTGGGGAAGCAGAAACCCATTGGTGGCCGGCTGGGGCAGGGGCAGCGGGCCCATCTGGGCCGGGGGGCCCCTGGCTCAGTGGCTTTCCAGTCGTCAGACAGGGAGTCGACCTTCTCCCGCAGCAGCCAGGAGGTTCGCAGTTCCTCCTTCCCACCGTCCTCAGCAAAGCACTGGCCCACAAAGACAGCTGTGGAGTCTGGGGAAGCAGCAGATTTTAGTGTCCCAGTGGCAGCCCAGCTGCACTTGGGGCCTCACAAGCACAACTGCATTCAATTCTCATGGAGCCCAGGGGATCCCCGATGTTGGCAGGGAAATGCTCTGCAGCAGAGATGCTGCCAAAGCAACTTTCGATGGTAGGTAGCCCAAACAACACTTTGGGACATGTCGTGCTGTCTGCAGACAATGTCCGTTGTGGGGAGAGATCATAAAGGACAGACTGGGGACAGCAAAGGGGACAGAGAGATTGGGATGGGTGCTGGGACCAGCCTCAGCACCCTTCCCCATCCCACCCCCCCATCCAGGCAAGGCTGCTGCTGCAGCTGCTGCTGCAGCTACTGACCAGAAAACTTCTTCCAGTTGACCGTGAAGCCGAAGGTGCACTGCCCGTCCTCGTCCAAGTGCTGGGAGCCAACAAGGGGTGATACCTCAATGGGTTTCTGGGTGCTCGACACAGCTGTGTCGTACTCCCCGGAGAAGTTGCCCTCGTTGTCAACCTTGTGTATGCACATCTTGGACCCCAGTTCGTTCTTCCACAAGCCAGTCAAATTGCACTGCCGGAGGACAGGCAGACGTGTCCCTGGGGGCTGCCCGCACAGTCCCTAACCCCCTCCCCTGGGCTGAGTCCCTCGCCTGCACCCCCTCGATGTCCACAGAGTGCCAGCATTCACCTTGCCATTCCTTGTGGGGCTTTTCCGTTCATGTGCAGGCCAACACCTGGTGTTGGTCGTCTTTTCCTCCTTCGCACCAGCTTTTTCTGACTTGGGGGTCTCAGCCGCCTGGCAGAGGAGCTTGGAAAAGATAGAAAACAGGGGCGAGCTGTGGGCAGCAGCACGGCAGGGTATCTCTAGAGCCCCTCATGCACTCATGCACTCATTTCTTTAAAGCCACTAGCATTTCAGACACATCAGGAGGGACAACCGTTGGGGTGAGCTGAGCAGGAGGGGAGAGGGCAAGAGCAAAATTAAAGGCAGGAGCCCCAGACAGGGCGCCGTGCTCGGCACTGGTGCGGGGAATGAATGGGAAGACCACAGGGATGGGAAGAGTCGTCGGGTTTGTGGTGGCCTCCCGTGCAACCAGGCAGGTGGCACAGCGGGAGCCCTGGGGCATCCCACCTGCA